GGAATGACACGTCAACTAGGTTTTCCAACCTTTTTTCTTACACTATCATGTGCTGATCTACGTTGGAAAGAATTCACTGATACTTTTGTACGTCACACTGGAGCTCCAATAAAAGAATCATATACATTTGAAGAAAAAACAAAACTTTTACGTGCGAATCCTGTTCTAGCTGCACGTTTGTTTGAAAAACGATTTAATACATTTATGAATTTATTTATTAAAGGTGGAGCATCGTGTCTAGGCATTGTAGAAGACTGGTTTGCTCGTATAGAAATGCAAATGCGAGGTTCACCACATTCTCACATGCCACTTTGGGTAAAAGGTGCACCTGTTTACATTGGATTGCACACCGATGAAAAAACTCGTGAGGAAATCGTTAAATTTTGTGACAAATATATTACGACACGATTCCCATCATTAGAAGAAGATCCAATATTACACTATCTTGTCAAAGAATTACAGTTTCATTCTCGTAATCATTCAAAGTCTTGTTTAAAATTGTATAAAATGTTGTGTCGTTTTGGATTTCCTCGGCCTGTTGCTCGACGGACATTCATTTGTGAACCATTAAAAGCTGAGAATGATGATGATAAACAAAAATTTAAAAGAATGAAAGAAATTCTTACGGAAATGAATGCAACGATGAATAAATTAGAAAAAGAAAAAATTTTGTCATGGTCGGATTTTGATAATCTTCTAGCAAAGTATAATTGGACCTATGAGGATTACGAATGTGCTCTTCGTGTTGTTCATACTAGAACGACCATGATTCATAAAAGAGAACCTAATGCACGATGGGTTAATCAATATAATGAAGAAATATTGAGAACATGGAATGCTAATATGGATATTCAATTCGTACTTGATCCATATGCTTGTGCAAAATATCTTATGTCATATACAACAAAACCAGAACGAGAAATGAGTTTATTATTAGAAGCAACTCATAAAGAATGTCGTGAAGGAAATATGTCCGTTCGAGAAGAAATGAAAAAATTAACAGGTACATTTTTTAATCATCGACAAGTCAGTGTACAGGAGGCTATTTACCGTGCAACTAAAATGCCACTAACATATTCAAGTCGAGGTTTTGTTTTTGTACCAGCACATTCAAATAGTTGTAAATTTTTAAAATCACAAAATATATTAAAAGAATTGGATCCAGATGACGAAAATATATATATGTCTAACTTAGCTGACAAATATTTTGATAGACCAGAAGAACCGGAATTCGATATTTGTATGGCAGATTTTGCTTCTGAATATGAAATCATATCGATTAATAAAAACATTAAAAATCCAAAGACTCCAATTAAACGATTACAAACATTAAATTTTGCTATTAAGAAACGTTGTAATCGTAATGCTATTATACGTTATCCATATTTTAATCGAGAAA